TTGGATCGTCATTAAGGGGCATATGTTCCTCCCATCGCTCGGGCCGAAATACTTCTGCATCCATTCCGTAGAAGTCAGGCCGTCTATGCATTGAGTACACGCTGTATGCAACTGAAGCCCCTCTAGGTACAAGCACTGGCGATTTGTGATCCGGCCCGCCACCAACCGGGAGGACAGTGGTCTTCAGAGCTGTCCGAGAGTTCACCGGAACAGAAGGATAAAGTCTGAGAGCTGCATTTGCAAGTCAGGATGGGATTGGCGGAAATACGGCTGATACCATAGGGTCTTACTCTCTTTTAAGACATTTTGCAAGTAGTTCATTTTTCTCAGCTCCGATCGTGTAACCTCCGCTCTGCTGTCGAAGATGCATGCGATCTCTGATCTTAGTTTGTCCATGACATTGGGGTGTCGCACGAGAAGGAAGCTGCAATTCTTGTTAGCCTGATCGGGCAATTGGACGGGCCTTTGCATGCCCACTCACAGTGTCCAGGAGATGAGGCATGCGGTAGTATCTCTGCCGGCAACCAAGATGTTTATGATTTGGCTTCGCAATGCCTTCCGATCTGGGGTATTTCTGGCAAGGAAGTCAAGAAACACATATTTCTTTTGTCCTTCAATGCGCTTCGAGTCTCTGGACAGATTTTGATCAATGATCTGGTCTGCAAAGCGGTGAACATCACTGCAGGCTTGCCGAAATTTTCTTCCACCCACAAGCCAATAGAGGTCCTGTAGTCTCATCCTTTTCGCAATGAAGTCTTGAGCTGTGTTGAATGCACTGGCGAATTCAGATTCTCCTGGTGTCCCAAGCCTTTCTAGGGAGTGTACGGACTCTCCAAACAAGAATGCTGTGGTCACATCTAAGGTCAACCGGAAGAAGAACGGTTGGAGATCGACAACTCCGTTTGCAGGCAACGCTTCCAGAAGATTGGCGACCGGTTCTCGAAACACTTCCAGATCTTCGTACTGCTTAAACACAAGCTGGGGCCTCAGCATTTCGCGCGAATGTTTCCAGTCAGCACCTTCCTGGGTGAATATGCCGTCTCCAAAAAAAGGGAACATGACTTTTCGTCTTGGGCCCATGCCCCAGTCTTCAAACTGGGTGCTCAGAATAGCTTCAAGATTCGCTGGTTCTATTGTTCCAAAAGCCTGGGAGCCAAGAAATACTTGCTCGAGGGTTGTGCCCCAAAACCTGAAATGAAATAAAAACAGCTCCATCAGGCGAGATTCGCTGTCCGCCCTGAATATTTGCTCGAGGCGGTCCAAACCAAACGGTCTCTGATTCAACAGCCTTGGAGGTGGTTGACACCCACGAGCCACCCCCATTTGCATATCATACTGCAGAGGAATCAGGAATTTCGTAGCTGGATCCAAGCGCTGAACACACTTACACGACGTTGCTTGAAAATGTTGATGGCATGATAAACATAAAATGCGAATATCCATCCCAAAGCTATGAAAAGTGAGGACATTGTCCACATGGCACAGCGTAATATCGATCAAGAGGTGGAAAACACAGCAGCAACGGAAGAATAGGAAGTAGGTGGAAACTGAGAGCGACTGAGAGATATCAAAAGCCCTGAGCGCTGAGGACGGCTGATTTGGTTTCGGTGTGGCGCGTTAGCGCCATTGGCCCCTGGCTCCTTGGGGTCGTAGGTCCGCAATGTCACTTGTCGTGTAACAATCACCCCGCTCGGCTCTTCTACCCCCAATCAAAAAGAGCTCAGAAAGCACGGCCAGTTTCGAAGTGTCCAGCGTGGCAATCATAACCAGCCCATCCTGCCTGTTACTATCTATAAGAGACAATCAACCACAAAACAATGTCATCAAATTTTGCAAGGCGGGAAGCAAAATATCGAAACTTAGAACGTCGAGCTCTAAGCGGTGAGTAGCTCTCTTTGGCTGGAACTCGTTAACTTGCCGGCGTCGAAGTGCTTGTGGGCGACGATGGCAGCCGGCGAAAGAGCAACGCGATCTGGAGGCTGCCTAACGAGCAGAGATCCTTGCGTGTCCCGAAGTAAGAGATTGCAGAGTGATGATACTTCATGCCGAGGCTTGGCAGTTCCTGTACCCAGTACCCGTGAAATGATAGACCCGCAGTGCGTCTGGTGAAACTTCAAAGCCCCACAGTAGGAGCTGACCTCCAACGACACCTAAGAATGTTAAGCGCCGTGATCATTTTTAGCTCTCTGTAGCACGCGGAACGGCCCAAGCGGAACGATGGCTCAGTCCCCACGCTCCCAAGTACGTTCCTCAGGGAATCGCTCTTTGTCCTTCTCGCTCAACGTCGTTCTATCCAGCACACCAATACACCAAATCTTCCCTACAAAGTGTTGGTATGATTTCGGCATGGCTGGCCAGTCGTTTGAGCGGAATCTCATCAATGAAAGCAGAGTGCATTTCGGGAACAATTACTACTCTTGCAGTGCAAAAAGCACTTCGGAATTCTCCGGTGTTGCTGAGACTCCTGTAGCTCGACGTTGGTTGGAGCCGTCCCTTTCAAGAGAAGCAGATGCGTACGGCTTGAATGAACTGTACTGCGTACCTCGTTGCTCCCGTCCTCAATTCGTCGGAAGACAGCTACTGGCAGATAGAGTTAAGGAAAAACTTAATCCTGATGCCGTGCAGGTTGATGATGGCAAGCACATGATTGTGGCCATCTACGGATTAGGAGGTTCTGGAAAAACTCAATTCTGCCTAAGATACGCGGAAGCGAATCGATCAAGGTAACCTGCCATGGTACTGCATTGGAACTGCATCTGACAGCACCTCTTAGTTACTGGGGCATCTTCTGGATCGATGCCAGCTCCCGTGAGAACGCGGAAGCTGGCTTCGCGTTGCTAGGACAACAAGCAGGCAAAGGCTCTACCTTTTCAGCCGGCAAGTATTGGTTATCCCAATCCACCAAGCCGTGGCTGTTAGTGCTTGACAATGCCGACGATCCTGAATTGGACATTTCAGAGTTTATTCCTGCCGGGGTGCATGGGCATGTTCTCATCACGACGCGCAATCCAAACGTGACCATCTATGCTACAGCTGGTTCTTTCCGGCTTCAGGGCTTGGATCCTGAGGAAGCTATAACCCTCCTGCTCAGGTCGGCGTATCCGAGCGATCAAGCAAGTGAGACGGGCTCAACTAAACGCACCCTGGCCCAGAGGATTGCCGCCGAACTAGGCTACCTCGCTATAGCATTGGATCACGCAGGAGCAACAATTCGTCGCAAGGTCTACACTCTTGAGAAATATCTCCACTTTTACCTTGGTTACCGCCATCGCCTGCTCAGTTCCCCGAAGTCCATAAGTGCTGAAGAGGCCGACGTCATCACTACTTGGGAGATACCTTTCAGAAGAATTGAGAAGCGGGAATCTGTCGAGTATAAGGACGCGGTTGTCTTGATGCACATATTCGCGTTTCTGCATTTCGGTTCGATATCCGAGCACATCTTTCATGTTTCATGGGCAGAGAGCGAGAGCGGTTCCTCTTCAGGAATTTTACTGCCGGATCTTCTTCGACTTGATTCGAGTCGTTCTGAAGAAGCACAGACACGGCTTAGACGGGCCATCGGAGTCCTGTGTGACTACTCGATCATTGACCATGATGCGGAGCGCGAAGTATGCTCACTGCACCCTGTCATTCATAGATGGGCCAGGACTAGGTTGTCCGATGGAAAGCAACTAGTCAGCTGGCTTGATTGTGCCATCAGGCTTCTGGTCCGATGCATCTCCCCGAATCTTGAAGCGTCTGGACGAAGGTTTCGAAGGCTTCTTTTGCCTCATATTGAATCATGCCTGCAGATGCTTGAAATTCACACTCCGTCGTTCCCGCAAACGAGTGAAAGGGCGGACCAAATGGAGAGGTTTGCATGGGTATACGCAGAAAGTGGCCTCTGGAAGCCAGCTCTCGGATTACAGAGTAAAATCATCGAGTACAGAATTCGAACACTGGGCAGAACGCACGAAGATTCTCTAAGGGCTCAGCGCAGCCTATCTCACATATATTGGAATCTCTTCAAGGTGGAGGCGGCCCTCGATGTCCAACTACAAATCCTTAACGCGCGATGGTGGTCAAGGCCATCTGTTGTGTACTGGGCGCCGCCATGGACGCCGGATCACATCACCTATTGTATCGCGCTGGATGACCTTACCCAAACACTGTGGCTGGCAGGGAGAAGAAATCTCTCCAAAAGGACCGGCGAGCGCGCTGTGAACGGCTTGGTGAGAAGGATCGGTCCAGATGATCCTCGAACACTAAACGCAATGTTCAACTTAGGTCGTACATACCTCCATGCTGGAGATCTGGGGAAAGCGCACAAGTTATTATTGTCCGTGCTACTGAAGAGGAAGAAACTTTTTGGCCAGAACCATCCGGACACGCTCATGGCAAGAAACGAACTCGGAATGTGTTTTTGTGCACGTAAAGAGCGCCTTGGTGTTGCGGAACGACTTGTGGCCAACGTCCTTGAAGCACGCAAGCAAGTACTTGGGGAAGAACATGCGTACACTCTGTGGTCGGTGAACGATCTATCAAAGGTTCTTTGTGAGCGTGGCCGGCCATTACAAGCCGCAAACATGCTGACAGAATTGATACCGGTGGTAGAACGCACACTTGGGAAGGAACATGTTGGAATGAACATGACCAAGGGCAATCTTGCTCGAGCATATGTGCTGTGCGGGAGATGGTATGATGCTGAAAAGTTCCTTCTCGAAATGCTCTCTCACATCAAAGATGACCATCCTGACTGGATTCAAACCATGTCTGGGTACATCCATGTGCAGATTTGCTCTGGTCGGCTGGAGGAAGCCGAGAAGAACTGCACGAAGATACTGCGCAAGATTACGCAGGAGAATGGATTCTGCAAAGATGATCCTCGAACGGCTGTCGTTGTGAAACAACTTGCGAACATCTACGTCAACACTGGACGCTCTGACCAACTTTCTGTCCTCAAAACCCTATTCCCGGCAATGGAAGGGATGGATCTAACACTGGTCCAGCACGACTGAAAATCTGTAACCGATTCAGTTATAGATTATAGCCCAGCAGCATCAGACGCTGGTTATGAATGGATAACTGCCTCTCGGACGCTTCCCCGCCTCGCTCAGATGTTGAGAGCTCCGGGGAGACCGCTGGCACCTCAGTCTATGATGGGACTGTTTTCATCCAAAATGTCCGCCAACGCACAAAAGAAGCACAAATGCAAGGTTTGCAACAAGCGCTTCACATGCCCAAGTTCCTTGCAGACACATATACGGCCACACGGGCGTAAGGCCTTTTGCATGCGATGTTGAGGGTTGTGGACGACACTTCTCGGTTGTTCCAACTTGCGCCGACACAAGAATGTGCACAGGGACGAGACGGTCTAGATTGCCGGCCACTCTGACGTGGAAGAGGAATAAACGACCAACTGGGACTCATCAAAAGCAGCTATCCGACACCCCTTGCCGGTAATGAACTTGACACGCATGGACGTGCCGACGATTTTACCTCCTTCCGCCGAACGCCCGTGCGACCTGTGCACTTGGAGCAAGTGTGAGTGCATCTGAGTCCGTCACGAGGCACAGCCTCGAATCCGAGGATACGAGGGCAAGGTGGCGGTCTGCAAGCCGTCGCAAAAACAGCTGGCCACGTCGTATACAAGCGGGGTGCCATTATCGGTTATATGACGGGAAAATTAGCGCCACACAACACGTACCGTAACCACCGATGTATCAAGCTCGTCAGGAGTGATTGATTGTGTTGACAGGGTCTCAAGGTAGCTACTGTGGCAAACCATCTAAGACGCTAGCTGTTTCACCAACAGCGCCACACCGTTGTTCTCGCCGATCTGCGAGAGCATGGCGACGGAATAGGAGGTTTCAGGAACGGCCTTCCGAGCACAGGCCAAAGTGTATATAAACAGACAGAGTCTCTCTGAATAGCCAGGGGGACGGAACACAATCAACAAGATGAATCCACTCTCATTCTGTGTACAACAGATTGATTGATTGATTTTCAAACTCCCAGGCGGGCTAAGCCCATTAGGGTCTAGCTCCTAGTTCTATGTCACGTGTAGACACTGCTGGACGGGAAGGTGTATTAGGGAAGGTTCGACCGCTAGCTTAGGAATGAGAAAGGTGTACCGAGAGCTATTTAATCTTCTCTAAACCCACTCTCCCTCTTCCTCTTCGCTCCTTAGAGATAGCCCACCAACAAACAGATAGCTGCACTAGCTAGTCATTGATTGAGCTATTACAGCCAATCCCTTGCCATTACGGCGTCCCTTTCTTACTTGCTCCTTCCACCCTGAGTGTTAGACACAGCCTTAGAAGGGACCGGTCGTGGGCTACACGGGAGCGGCTCACTACATTCATTGGCCACATGGAAGGGTCCGCGAGAGAGTAAGGCTGAGTCACGTGACATGCCCTGCTGGCTCTGTTAGCTCTGTGAGCTCTACTAGCAGAGCGCATAGAGCGCACAGAGCGCACAGAGTATAAGCATTATATATACACCCTCATTACCCCTAGATAGCTTACACTCTCTTCGTAGCTAACTCATATTATCTATTGAACTATATAGTTCTTAGTGATAAGTGACTGTTTATATCTTATATTCTTCCTAATTAGTTCATACTATTTAAATTATTACTAGGAACCCTAACCTAGTTAAGCCTCAGTAGGATCTCTAACACTTTAGCTATCACCCTTATTATGAAGAATAATCCCTATGAGTAGTTAGGGAAGACTCGTCCGACCTATCTCGTCGACCGACGAACTACTTACCCGACAAACCGTACGACTATTACTCAACGATACAATATTAACTACTATAGACACTCTAAGATCTACACTTAGTACACTAAGAACTACGACTAGTGCTGCACTATTAGTCTACGCTTATAATACGGTAGGCTCGTCTAGAGATATACTAATTTTAGTTAGTAAAGAAAAGATTAAAAATTTATCTAAACTCTTCAACGGAGTGAAATTTAAACTTATACTCTTTATTCACTACGTAGATATATATATCCTAATAAACTCTACTAACTTTCAAAACGATCTTTAAAAGATCCTCTTTATAAGAAGCTACTTCGAAGGAGATACCGAAGCGTAGCTTCGATCATTTATAAAAGATTATATAGAGAACGAACTAGATAATTGAGAAGATAAGACGATTAACTTATTTACTATATTTACGAAGTTCAAAGATATAGTGAAACTAATGTTCGAGATAAAAGACGAGAAAAAGAAAGTTTAAAAGAAGATAGTGAGTCTTCGATAGACTAAGTCTATTTAGGAATACGCAACTAAGTTTCGAACGCTAAACGTAGCGCTTAGGTAGTAAGATAACATTATAATCTCTATCTTTCGAGAAGAATTAAAAGTAAAAATTAAGTAAGAACTTCGACATTTAGAAAAGACACTCCTAGAAGACTAAATAGCTACGGCTATTAAAGAAGACAACGATATTAAAGAATACCGTCAGTAAGAACCTCATAACTCTAGAAGAGTATATATAATAAAGGCTCAGCGAGTCAATACCTAAAAAAGGCGTGAACTTTATTACGAACCACAGTCTATAGACTTAGACTAAGTCTAGAAAAGACGCGACAACAATAGAGAAAATAAAAAAGAAAAGACCGACCCTAAAAAAGAAAAAGAATCTACTTATTATAGCTACGGCAAACTAAGCCATTATGCGAAAGATTGTAAAAGTAAGAGAAAATAGATTGTAGCCGCCGAAAAGAAACCTAAGACTAGGGAAACGGCAACGATCACTTCTAAAGCTAACATAGTAGAAGGTGAAACGATAATAGTCGAAGAAAGTATTAATAGTGGAAAGGCGGTATTAATAGTAATTATATCTACGCGTATATACATTCGAATAAAATATTGAGCGAGAAGAATATACTTAGATCTCTACTGTACCTCGTCACTACTAGATTATAGCCACACGGTATACGAACTAGGAAATCCCCCTTCGGAGATAGAGATAACATTTAGTATAAGGATCTACTAAAACAGCGAATATTTATAAAGGAGAAGTTACCCGAACTTCATCTATACTCATTAAGAAGAAGACTCGAACGCTTTAAATATTTATATTTCGGAATTAGATTTAGAGTTACTAAGAGAGTGTAATATAGCTAATTTACAGTACGATTTTAACTTAGATCTTAAAGAGAAACCGAAAGCGTAATTTAGCGAGGAACTAAAATCTCTTATATAAGAAGAACTTAAATAGATTCTATAAGAAGTAGTAGAAAGAATTAAGATAAGAACTTAATAAATATAAGAACTAATGAGAGAGATAGAAATAATTTCAGCAGAAGAAACTCTCTTATAAGCTCTTACGGAAGACGATATAAGAGAAATCGTAGTAATCGCCTAAATACCGGAGGAAGAAATATAAATACGACTAACGACGAACCGAATCTTAGCTAGAGCGGAGATAGAAGTTTAAGCGATTCTTAGAATCTATAGAGAACGAAGAGTTAGAGTATCTCGACTTATAAAAACTTTACTAAATATTAGTATTTAAGAACTATTCCCCTATAGAATGATATATATTTATTCTCTATAGCTAATTCTCTATCTATATATATAGTATCTCGACTACCTTTAATCGAAAAAACTAAATATAATCGCCGTAGAAGTATAGCGAATCTATGAAGAATCGGTAGCGCGATGCGCGGCGTATAAATATAAAGTATCTAATCTAAAAGATAAAAAAATAAACTACCTTTACTAACTAAAAAACTAAAATAATGAAAGAACTAAAGGCGCCTAAATCACTAGAAATACGCCCTTAGAAGACGCTAGCGCTGAAAAATTAGCAAGAATAGCGTATAGCTAATTAGAACTAGAGAAGAAAGAAGGAACTAATAACTTAAGTTAAATATAGCTATAAAGTCTAACGCTAGGCCTATATTCCTCGGAGAAATATTAGAGGACTAAGAAGTCAGTATTCTAATCGACTTAGAATATACTAGAAACCTAGTATATACTAAGATAGTAGAAAAGCTACCGCAATGGAAAGCTAAAAGACTAAGATTCGACGTAATCATAGAATTCGACGACACCATTATGTCCGAGCTTACGTATAAGCTACGATTAATACGACTTACGATCGACGAACATTAAGAAGAACTAAACCTCGACATTATAAATATAAAATATAATATAGTACTAGGTATATCTTAGTTAAAATATCACAACCTAATTATTAACTAAGTAGAAACTTAGATACGATTTAATAATTACGACTACACCGCGAAAACCTAGAAACCCGAGATAGAATTAGCTTAGAAATATATAAAAAAGATCGTTTAGGTACGATTAGTATAAGTGTTTATTAATACGATAATAAAATACTCACTAGAATACGAAAGACTAAGATTTATATTCGAAAAGAAAGTAGAAATCGAGGCTCTACTAGAATATAAATTATAGAACTATGAAATATATCTTTAAGAAGAAAAACACCTTACATTTAAATCACTATACTCATTATCGGAAACCGAGTAAAAGGCCTTAAGAAAATATCTTAAAGAACATTTAGCGAAAGACTATATTAGGTTATTAAAGTTAGAAGTAAAATACTCTATTCTATTCATCCTTGTTCGAAGGACTTAGAGAACTATCTAATGTATAGATAGTAAGGCTCATATAGATCGTAAACCTTATAGGTAGGTAAGTGACTATTAAAGAACTTAAAGATAACTATCTACCTAGGGAGGGTAAAGGTCTTTATATAGACAATAAGTGTTCACAGTTAAGACCCTTAAAATGTTGATTTTAAATCAACATTAGTAAGTACGACCAATCATTTAATAGAGTGCGGAGTTAATATCGCACTAGTTACGTGATTTCATAGACTCTAGGTCTAAATACGAACTTAAACTTCGTATTTAATCACGTGACTAAAGGTTTATATTAAATCTTTAGAGGGCGATATTTCACAATCCTAAAGAAAGACGAAAAGCTTCGATTATATATGAACTATCGGAAGCTAAATAATATTACTATTAAGAATATTTACCCACTACTAAGGATTAATGAGCTCTAAGACCGGCTTTAGGGAGCGTAATATTTTATAACACTAAATATTCGAGACGCGTACTATCGTATACGTATAAAAGAAGGCGAAGAATGAAAAACAGCCTTTAGAACTCGATACGAATTATTCGAGTACTATATAATATCATTTAGACTCACTAATGCACTAGCGACATTCTAAACACTAATTAATAACGCGTTGAGAAAATACTTAGATATTTTTTATATCGTCTACTTAGACGATATCTTAATCTACTTTAAGATCTATAAAGAATATATAGAATACGTTACGAAGGTACTAGAGGCCCTTTAAGAATATTAAC